GGCTGTCAGACCCTGCCCGGCACTGGCTCCCTGCCCGGCACTGGGCATGCGGTGACCTGGCCTCGTCCCTGCAAGGGAGGACAGCCCATTTCCCAGGGGAGGACACCGCAGCCAGATGGGGCCAGAGGAGGGCTGGACGTCAACCCACAGAGGGAGGCGGAAACTTCCTCCAGGAAGCTCCTCGGGACAGGGATTAGGAGAGACCCACCCTCACATGCACTCAGGTAGAGCCAGGCCCAGAAGAAGGGTGGCTCTAAGCCACAGCCCAGGGGGGCCTCTCAAGTTGCCTCACGAGGTGACCCCTCCACACCCCAGAGCCAGACTGCCAAGGTGCGGTGGAAACGTTTCTCCCACCAGAGCAGTCCAGCAGCTGGGTGTGTGCTGTGACCATCGAGGGGGACTTTGTCGGAAACATCACCCAGGGCCAGGTGCCCCCACCCACAGGGAGGAGGGACTGAGACAGGGCCCGGGCACCCAGGGCCAGGTGCCCCCACCCACAGGAAGGAGGGACAGAGACAGGGCCTGGGCACCCGCAGCCAGATGGGGCCAGAGGAGGGCTGGACGTCAACCCACAGAGGGAGGCGGAAACTTCCTCCAGGAAGCTCCTCGGGACAGGGATTAGGAGGGGCCCGGACGGGCTGGCTTCAGGGGCTCTCACCAGCCAAAGACATGCAGGCTGGGGCGTGGGGGCCTGTGTCCTGGCTGCCACGAGGCCCACCCACACACCTCTGTCCTCCCCTTCCCACATGCCCAGAGGCCCAGCCCTTCACATCGGGATTGGACGGAGGCCCTGGAGCAGGGTGACTGCTGTTATTTTACAGACGAGGCTCAGGAAAGCTCAGGGACCTGTGCGAGAAGGTCTGTAGACCTGCACCCCCTCAGGATACACGTGTTACTCAGGAACCGACCCGCCAGCCTTTCCCATGACACGTGACACCCCACCTGAACCTCCACCCAGGTGCACTCTGGGAAGAGGTGCAGGCCTCCCCGAGGCAGCGCAAGACCCTGCACACCGGCCCAGGGTCACAGTGGGGATGGGAGGGACCTGTCCACTGCTCTGTGGGATCTGGGGCAGGCCACCACTTCTCTGAATCTAAAAGGCCCAAGAACCAAAGGAAAACCATCATTTCAAAACTGTCACGTGACACACAGATGCATCCCCGGCTGCACTGCCCGGCGGCACACATGTATTTACCGCCGGGGACACGGGACCATGCAGAAGTGCCGTACTCATGGGTGCAGATCACATCTAGAGGCGTCGGCCACCGGGACCCAGGTCTGAGCCCCACACAGGGGAAGCATTTTCTCCTCCTGCCCCTCCTCCTGGGGCGAAGGACAGCAAGGCGCATGCAGCGTAGCTGGCCAGGGCTTGCTCTCCTTTTGGTGCACAGAGTGAAAGGGCAAATCTTGCTCCAGGGGAATAATGACCTCCAAGAGTACAGCGAGGGAGGACACAGAAAAGAAAGTTTTCATGGCATCTTTTTATCTGCACAGCTATCCCATCTGTGACCGCCCAAGGAGAGAGGGGTGTGTTCTGCCACCGACCGCCACAGCCTGAGCAAAGCACAGAGCGCCCCACTGTGTCCTCCAGGAGGGACGTGGCGCCGTTGCTGGGCACGGACAGCAGAGCCTGTGCACTCGCTCCCACCTCCGCCCCGGAAGCGAAGGCCCAGCCACCCTCTCTTAGGGAAAGCCTGAGTACCGGCGTCGGCCTTGGCTGGGTGTTGGGAATGAGGAACCCACCGATAAGAAGCAGGAGGGAGCAGGTGAGGGTGCACTGGGGCGCCCCTGCCCACCATGGCCCATCCACCTCAGTCGCCTGGGGGCTCTGGGCTCTGCTCCCTAGACTTCTCTCTGCAGCTTCCTGTCTAAGCCGCCGTCACCTCCTGTCCCCTACCCACAACTCATGGGGCAGTGGGTCACATCTGAAACCTAACTTGAATACTGTCTCCCCTTTTGAAAAGGCTGGGGCTAACTGCAGAACCTCATGTGACACCTAGGGCTGTGTGTCCCCTCGCTCCAGCCCAGGGCGGTCCCTGCATAGCCGGCCCCTGTCAGTCAGTCACCCAGCCGCCCCTCCTACCCTGCATCTCGGGGAGGCCCAACCCCTCAGAAGGGCTTTTCTGGTCTGCACTGGGGGCCCTACCTGTCCCCCAACTGCGACTCTCTCATTCCCGTGCCTCTGGTTCTCATGTCCCCCCATCAGCTCTAGATGCAGGGCCGTGTCCTCACTGGGACGTGGCACAGATGTAGCACATGGGGCTGAGGACAGTTCTGTGAAGGCCACTCGGAAGGGGTGATCATGACCTTCCCTGACCAGGAGGCAACAGGCGAGAGGCTGTGCGGCCGGTCAAGGGCCTGCAGGACCCTACAGCCAGTGTCCCCACAGCACAGAGGCCACCTGGGGGCCCCGGGCAGCAAGAAGGAGCCTTTTCAGCCCTGATGGGGCAGGGCACCCAGGGTGTGGGCCAGGCAGGTGTGTGGGCCAGGCCTGCTCTGCCAGATTTTTGCTGCATTCTCCAGGCCCGGAGAGGGCCAGTGGCCAGTCATTGCAAAACTGGGGCTGGAAGTATCTGGGGCCCTGCTGCCAGGTACCAGCAAGGGGAGGGACAGCTGCCAAGGGCTTTGCGCCCAATGGGGATACAAAGTCAGGCAGCCTCTTTGGGAGAAAGGGGTGGACAGGTTAACAAGCAAGGCATTCATCTGGTAACAAAACACATCTCTTGAAGCAAACGGGAGAGAGGAATTCTGCAGACGTGGCGCTGTGTCCCAAAGCTCAGAAGGGAAGCGCGGGGGGAGCACGGGGCGGGGGAGGACGTCTCAACAGCTAACGGAATTACAAACGCATTATGTATTCAAGTTGAACAAAAGCTCTTTGCCATCCCTACTGAAATTTGTTTTTACAAAAGTCAGGTTCCCTCCTACAACTTTCCTGGCTCTGAGGAGAGCAGCCAAGCGGAGGCCTTCACAAGCAAAGTGCCCCTTCCCTGCCCTGCACACCTCCCGGAGGCTCGGGTTGGACGTTTCTCCTGCTTGTAAAATGTTACTCGGGCCCGACCACCTCTCTGGGCAACTTCCGAGTGCGTGGGAGCCATGGGATGAGTGAGTCTTGTCTTGAGTGACGTAATGGAACCTGAGGTCCCAGTGAGCTTCACAACTGGAGTGTCCCACCAGCTCTGGGGTGGCTCTGGTACCCCGAGCGACGAGCGACTGAGAATCCCCAGTCAGACACACGCATGGGGGACGGGTCTGAGCTCCTGAAGGGATGACCTGGGCCACCTTCCAGCGCCACCTGGGAATCTGGTGGGACGTTCCCGTTGACAATGATGACACAGGTGGCCAATGCTTGCTTCGGGCTTTTGTACAAATTAATGTATTTGATAAAGGCAGTCTGGCACCAGCCTTAGGAGTTCGTCTCCCTGTCGTAGGTCAGTATAGCCCAGCACTGTGTCCCCCACAGCCCAGGTCACCTGCTGGGCACAGAGTCCCCACCCCAGCTGCAGCCAGGCAAAGTGCTGTTTGGCCAGCAGGGGGCGCCGGGAGCAAGGGGAAGGCCCGGCCAAGGCCCTGGCTGCATGCTGAGTGCTGCTGGGCACCTGTTCAGTTCACAGCCTGCCAGCGGCAGAGTGCACCCAGGAGGGCAGCCTGGACCCGAGGCAGGGCCCCATGCAGGATGAGGCGGTATCCACGTGTCTGCACGTTTTGGTTTGGACGTGCATGGGGCAGGAAGGGGCAGGGCAGCTCACAACTTGCTGGGTAGGGGCCTGCGCTGTCCTCTGCATCCCTGGGGTCCCACCTGCCTCCCCCACGGCCATGTGGGACCAGGCGGCCTCTCTGTAGCTATGAGCAACTATGAGTCACCAGAGCTTGCATCTGCAGGGTGCCCGCACTCAGCGACAGTGCCACAGCTCGGGGTGGAGTCACCTCCACCTGAGGCTCTGGGAGAGGAAGAATGAGGACAGTCCTAACTGCGCTGCTCCTAGGCTGGTTCCAACAGGGATGGAGAAAAGCTCAGCAGGAACTGCAGAGCGGCATCCGCACCGGACTCGAGCATCCTCCACTCCAAATGCACCCAGCCCCGGGCAGGATCCGGCGCCCAGGACTGTGTCCCCCAGGAGCTGCGACCACCCAAACAGGGACTGCTTATCAAACCCCAGCCTGACCTCGCCGCAGAACAGCACAGTGCGGAAATGGTAGAGGCTCTGCAGGCAGACACAGAACACACATCTATGGGGTGGGTGTGTGTTATAGGGTCCGGAGACACCCAGCAAAATGCCAACTGTGTCAGCCAATGTCGACAGAGAACGCACATGCCAGGGGTGGGGGCCATTTCACACTCATTCTCCTCGTTATTCCTCCCAGCAGCCCTAAGAGAAAGCAGCTCGGAAAAAAGGCTCAGAGAGGGTGAGTGTGAGTGACTTCCCCGAGGTTGCACAGCACACGACGAAAGCCTGGGCCCCCCAGCCTTAAAACTTTGGTGCCTGCTGGCTCTCACTTGCTCCTGAATGTGAACGGTGGGCACGTCTGAGTGACGGGCTTCCAAGGTTTGTGTTGTTTTCCATGCTTATCTGATCTTTCTTAATAAGCAGACAGAAACATGGAGAACCCCACCCTTCCATGGAGTGACGAATGAACCGCGGCACGGTCAGCCGCACGGCCCCTTTGGGGAAGGCTGGGGATGACAGCACTAGGGACTCCGACAGACCCCGGGAGAGACGGTGCGGGGAGGTCAGCACAGCAGGCACAGCCCCTGCCAGCGCTGGAACATTCTACATCCTCCCCAGGTGAGGTCACAACGCGTCGGCTGCACACTCGACTTACAGACATCACTGCACAATAAACGAAAACCGCCAGAGCCCCTCCTGGGGGTGCCCACGCTGTCCCACGGGAGCACTCCTGTGTCCCCTCTGGGTCGGATTTCACTTGCTGGGTGATTTTCCCAGAGGGAAAGCTCCACGTTGTGTGGGACCGCAGAGCTTTGGACTGGGAGCTGTACTCACCCTTCCCGATCTGGACGAAGCCCAGCAGGATGATCAGGGCCAGGGCCAGGAGCTTGGCGGCGGCGAAGGCATCCTGGACCCGGGTGGCGGCCTTCACGCTGTAGCAGTTCACGGCCGTGAGCAGCACTGGAGGGACAGAGGACAGTGGTGAGTCCCACAGGCAGACACCAGCTCCAGGGGAGGCTGGGAGGGGACCGCCCCATCCCACTCCAGCGCCAGGGCTAGGCCCACCAGAGAAACGAGCTCCTGAACCAGCTCCAGTCCCACGCCAGCCCCTAGGCAGGCCCTGATTTCCTGGGACCTGTTTTGATAAGACTCGCAGTTGTTTTAGGTCTAAGGGCTAGATCCCAGGTGCCCATCGAGGGCTGTAAAGGACCTTCCCTCGCTCCCCCACTGCATCAGGCCAGAGCACCATCTGTAGTCAGGGCTTCCAGTGGGGGCGCTGTCTCCAGAGACCCAGGTGAGCAAGGTGACCGTGCCACTCGGAAGGTGCCCACTACCTCTTTTTGCACCTACTCAGCACCCTGGCCAGACGGTGAGACCCACGCACAGCCCAGCTGCCAAATTGCATGAGGGTGGGCCCTTTCCTCAAAGTGGGGTGTCCTGCTGCCCTGGAACTACCCGGCCAGTCACCTGGGGACAACGGGGCTGGTGCAGCACGGGAGGGGCTGTAGGGGCCTGTGATGAACAGAGCTGCACATCCTGAAACCGAAAACAGCACTGTGTGCTTCAGAAGCCTGAGGCCTGAGGGGCTCCACACAGATAGCTGGAGCCCCTGCCCCAGAAGGCACCGCTGGGCACCCGTTCAGTTCACAGCCAGAGCCCCTCCTGGGGGTGCCCATGCTGTCCCACGGGAGCACTCCTGTGTCCCCTCTGGGTCAGATTTCACTTGCTGGGTGATCTTCCCAGAGGGAAAGCTCCACGTTGTGTGGGACCACACAGCTTTGGCCTGGGAGCCACTCAGGGATGGGGACTCCGTGCCCCGTGAAGGATACACAGGCACAGCCTCGAGATGTGGGGTCAGGTACGCTCAGACAGGTCTCCAGACACCAGCAAGTCCTCCAGGGCTGTCAGGCCCCAGCTCTAGGCCAGAGAGTGCGTTTGTGTGTGTGCTGGGGCATGTGTTGAGATACGCAGGCACGCGGAGCCACTATCCAGGGATCTGTGAGCTGGTGGGAAACAGTCATCCCCGCAACTTAGACTCAAGTAAATCACATTAACCCAGAGGCACGGAGCCCGTGACACCCCTCACTGCCGGCTGCTCTGCCCTTCACTCCTCTGTGCCCACGAGGTATCTGTAGTTGTCAGGAGCCTGAAATCTGCCCGTGGGAGCGTCTACACCCCAGAAGTGGGCAAAGCCCACCACGGGCCACCCGCACAGTGCTGCTCAGGCTGCAGGCAGGTGAGAGCACCGGAAAGGCCACGGCTTCCTCTTCTCTTTCCGCACGGGAGGCATGCTCAGAAGACTCTGCCAGCCGTGGCCTTGGGGACTCCAGCGAGTGGCTTTTCCCCAGCGGGAAAAATCCTATGGAATTTTTAGTGTGAGCAACAGACCCCAGGTAAAGACATCCACGCTGCTTAACCGACCGCACCAGGCGGGGAACACACGGGACCTGTCGTGGAGTGAGGAATGGCCGCCGGCCTCCCCTCCGATCTCTCGGGAACTAACCAGCCCGCCACACCTCCTGGAAGCTGGAGCAGACTGCCAGGCACTGGGAAAGCCTGGCTGACAAATGTCTGAAAGTAGGTGTGTTCGCTGCCATTCTCAAAACAAAAAGTGCGAAAATCCCCTCCGTTCCTCACCCAAAGGGAAGCGGTGAGGAGTGGGAAAATCCCCTTGTCCCAGGACTCCCAGGGACATGGAAATGTCGCCAGTCCACAGCCTCCAGTCCAACCCTCGGGGCTCAGCTGGGTTGCTCAGTGGCTCTGCGTAGTTCCTTCTGCACTGCCCAGGGCGAGAGGCAGGTCCTGGCTTGACAGTCCCATTTACTTACAGGAGTGGAGGGAGACCACAGAAGCAGCCGGGCCTCAGGGACCTTGCGGGCAAGCGCGGATTCCGGATTCGCAAGAGGCTGGCTGATTGCATCACTCGCCCCAGAGGGAGGTGGAGGAGGCGTGGCCAAGCCGCAGAGGAGGCTGCCTTTCCCCAGGAGACGGCGGGCTCCGCCACCACCAAGCTCCAGAAACCAGACAGGCGCTGCCGGTGCGGCCCCCGCGGCTGTCACCTCCGCTCGGGGGCTGGAGGGGGTCCAGGAAAGGCAGTGATTTGCCCAGAAGTGCCAGCCATGGGCTGTCCTGCCACACTGACATGGTGCTGGGCACTGACGCCATCACAGCTGTTACCGTGGGTGGGACAGATGCCAGGCCCCCCGCCACACCCCCGCCAACACCACCCCGCCTGCCCAGTCCCAACCAAAAACAGTCCTCAGGGGCCGGTGGGTGCCACAGGGAGTGGTCACCCGATCATCTCCTGACATTAAAAAGAACCACGGGGCGGGCAGACAGGAGGGGCTGGGTCTTGGAAGTCCGGTGGGAAGCGCACGGCCACAGAACAAAGAGGACCTTATCATATTTCTTTCTTTTATCACAAGAGCATAAGGCTTCGTTATTCTCCTCAATGTCCTTTTTTTAACTCTTAGGATGAAATAAAATCTTAAACAAATACATGAATTCGTCTGGGTTCAGTACTTTCTGGCTTTAAGGAGACGAGGCAGTCATGGGCGAAGTCGGGGGTTTCAACCTCAGCCCTCGCTGGGACCGGCCCCCCCAGCCTCCGTGTCCACACCTCTGAGGTGCGGCTGGCTGACCCCACAGCAGGGAGATGGGCAGAGCTGTGTCTTGAGTGGGGGTGGTGGGGGGGGCAGTGGTGGTGAGCACACAGGGTCGGCAACCTCAGATAAGTGTGGCTGTGCTGGCCCGTGGGGACAGCTGGGCCAGGAGATAAAGCCCTGTGGCTTGGCTTGACCTGCAGATAGTTGGGCAGGCTGAGCTGGGAGTCCCTCCCAGACTGGCGTGCTCTTCCCATGGTCATCTGGCTGCCTCCCACCTGGCTGGCTGGCCAGGGTCCCTTGGAAAAAGTGCATTGGAGGGACCCCTGCCCTCCTCCTCCCTTCACCTACACCCCCATCACCCCCCAGGGGCAGTGCGGTGTCCTGGGGAGGTTGCCACCACCCGGCATGGGCTAGGGGGACACCCCCACCCATCTCCTTTGCCTCCCCATCTCTGGAGTGAGCTCCCAGAGACACTGACCTCACAAACAGGGCAAGAAGGAGCCTGAACAGGGAAGGACCACAGACAGGACAGGTGCACACCGAGACCCCTCACCTTGCTCCCTGCCCACTCGCATGCGCAGCCCCCTCCCCTGACCTGTAAACCAGGAGGCTGCCTTCTCTAGCCCCTGGCCTCTCCCCTGGGAGAGATATTCTGAGGAGCACCCAGAGGCTCCTCCCCTGCCTGGCACCCCCGAACTCACTTCTGCAGCGTCTGAACCTGTCTGCCTCCCCTGATGCCGGCATCTTGGTCGCCTGGTCCCAATTCTGTCCAGCTCCTGATAAAATCCTGCCAGACACAGGGACAGTCCTTCAGGCTCCAGTGTCGGAGGACAGGGTGGGGGAAAGACCAGTAACAGGGGTGTTGGATGTGGAGAGCAGATGAGAACTACGGCTCCAGCTGGGTGGGGACCCCAGGCCCCAGGAACCCTCCCCACACAGACTAATGCCTCATGCTTTCCGGTGACAAATGTGTAGCAGGTACAGGAGCGTCTGTGGATAAGGCTCAGGCCCAGCCTTGAGGAAAATACTCTTTGCTGGCCAAAAAGGCCGCCCCCTGGGCCACCAGTCCTCACCTGCCCCGCAGCCAGACAGAGCAGAACAGTGAGTACTGCAGGGCCCCGCACCTCGGCCTGCCTGTAAGTGGGGTACCCAATGAGCATGGGGTTTAGGAAACTGATATCTTCCTCCCTGGCCCCTTCAAGCCTAAGCCTGGCCACTCTGAGTGCCCCAGGCACGCATCCAAGAGTCCCTTCCATCCCTTTCAGGCCCAACAGGAACAGAGGTGCTGCCTGGCCCCAGGGACTTCCTCCAGGAGTCTTTGGAAAGAGAGCGTGTGGTTTCAGAGTCTGTTGATACAAAGGGCCAGCCCTGGGGCAGAGATGGTCGTAGATGGAGACAGCACACAGGAAGTGGCTGGTGACATTGCTGGCTGCAGGAAGGCCAGGAAGCCTTGTTCCCCAGAGCACACCCGGCACAGCAGTTGGCCCTGGGCAAGAGAGCAGCAGCTGACCCTGGCCCGACACTGGTCCGTGCCACCCAGCCTAGCCTGCAACCCCGAGCCCAGCCAGTACCTCTCAAACCTGACACCCAGCCTTGGAGCCTGGGGCCCCTCTGCAGCTGGCTGGGGGTCCTGAGATAGCTTCTTTTATTTTATGTTATTTATTTATTTTTTAAAAGACGGAATTTTCATCATGTTGGTCAGGCTGGTCGTGAACTCCCAACCTCAGGTGATCTGCCCGCCTCGGCCTCCCAGAGTGCTAGGATGACAAGCATGAGCCACTGCGCCCGGCCAAAATGGTTAAGATGGTAAATTTTATGTTGTGTTTATTTTATTTTTCTGAGACAGTCTTGCTCTGTTGCCAGGCGCCAGGCTGGAGAGCAATGGCACCATCTCGACTCACTGCAACCTCCGCCTCCCGGGTTCAAGCAATTCTCCTGCCTCAGCCTCCCGAGTTGCTGGGACCACAAGTGTGCACCACCGCGCCTGGCTAACTTTTGTATTTTTTAGTAGAGACGCGGTAGCACCATGGTCTCCATCTCCTGACCTCGTGATCCGCCCGCCTCAGCCTCCCGAAGTGCTGGGATGACAGGCGTGGCCGCCGCGCCTGGCCTGAGTTATCTTCTTTGTTGGAACCCACTCGGTACACACAGGGCCCCGAACTTAGTGGGAGCCCAGTGACCTTCCTTCCTCAGTGAAATCAGTGCCTTCCTCCCTGGCCACTGCCAGTCTCAACATCCCCTGCTCTGAGGGCAAGCCTCCACCTTCACCGATAGAAGGCCCCACAATCTCCCAGGGCATTCCCCGGTGGGGCATGTAAAAGCAGTGGCAGGGGTTGGGGGTGACAGAAACCCAGA